AACTTGTAGCTTATGTTTTCATCAGCCAACGTTGTTGACTCCAGTCTAGGCTGTTGCCCAACACTCTTCTAGAAGCTTCACCTCCACGAGGCGACTCTGATCAAAACAAATCAGAGCTGAGGCTAATGGACTTTCAGTCGGGAGCAATAACCAGGTGGACAGCTCCCAGTTTTGTTACAAATCTCCAAATGTGGAATTTGTTTTTCTAAGAACCCGGCAGCCTACTAAACACAAAGTAAGGAGGCGGTGGAACAGAGCGTCTCAGAGGCTGACGGGGAGAAATTTATGTTTCTTTTTTTTTTTTCTTTCTCTGCTGCAGCTCCTGGAGCTTATCGCCAAGTCGCAACTCCCCTCGCTAAGCGGCGTGGCGCAGAAAAACTACATGAATATTCTTGAGAGGGTTGTTCAGAAAGGTGAGCCCCGTCACACCTGCGGGGTGTGTGTGTGTGTGTACTTCCACCGTGATTACTTGGGTCTAGTTTTATTGCATTACAACCATAAGCATCAGCTGTAATTGGAGTGAAATTGGGATTATAAGAAGCATCAACCTGTGTGGGGACTTGACGATCAAAATGCATTATAGTACGTGATGAAAGGGTGACAAACGTGGGGTGTGAAGAATTTTTTTTGTATTTATTATTGTAGGTGAGAAAATGAGCAAAGACATCTTGGACTTGGCTCTGTAACTTTGCTGTGTAGAACCCTGACAGTCAGCAGACCCCTCTGCAAGCTGCAGTGTAAACTAAATGTTCCTTCAGCTAAACAGACTTCGGTTGTTTGGGGAGCGTCACAAAACCTTCTGGCCAAATCGCATACGCATGTACTGAGAAGATCGCAGCCACTCTAGAATGAGTGGCTGCGATCCGTAGTTAAAAATCTGTTTTTTTTTTTCCCTTTTAGCTTCAGATTCAAGCTATGCTGTTGAATTTCCATGCAACATCCTAAAGATTAGATTATTTTTTTTAACATCAAGATTAATGATCCGTTTCAGTTCTCGATGACCAGCAGAACGTCCGTCCCATCAAAGAGCTGCTGCAGACGCTGTACGTGTCGCTGTGCGGCCTCGTTCAGGACATGGGCAAGTCGGTGCTGGTGGGGAACATCAACATCTGGGTCCACCGCATGGACAACATCCTGCAGTGGCAGCAGCAGCTGGACAACATCCAGATCAACAGAGTGAGCATCTGTCCGCGTCGCACATCCCGACGCGGTTACGGTCACATCTCTGTTTCTAACGCATCTCGTCCTGCTGCAGCCTGCAGCCACAGGCATGTCGCTGACCGACCTGCCGGCCGGTCTGCAGCTGAACATCATGCAGCGGCTGACGGACGGCAGGGACCTGGTCAGCCTGAGCCAGGTGTGTCTGGACCTGGGGTCCCTTACGGAGGACCGCCTGCTGTGGAAGAAACTCTGCCAGTACCACTTCACAGACAGACAGGTACGAAGACGACGAGAGAAGGAGAACATTTGACTGGCATTGGTATGGAGGACGAGTTCTGGCATGGAAGTAAACGGTCTGATAGTCATTTATGGGCCAATTCGCAGATAAACGGCAACTTAAGTCTTATTTTTATCCTATAGCATCTAATATAATCTAAAATGTTATTTTTCAGTTGTTTTACTTATTTTGTTTTTAGTATTTTATTATTTACATTGGGAATTTGTGTTTGATCTTCTGTAGCACTTTGTTGCAGTTGCATACTATTTTTTTAGAGTTGTGTAAATATGACTTGACTAAATAAGGAATAATTATTGGAACAATAAGGAAAAATATCTTAAAGGAAACTAAATAAAATAAGAATGGAATTAAAACAGAAAATAAAATAACTAAGTTAAATTAATGAACAAGTGTCACACTAAACAAATAAGGGCTCTATTGTATTCAATATTTGACACATGAACTACCTGATCAATTTGTTTCAATGCTTGCTGCCTATTGTCAGGATCCGTCCTCCATGCATTGCAGTATATATTATAACCTTTAGTGGAAGGTTGGCTGTATTGGTGATCTTACTAAAAAAATACACTGACAGGCAAAGACAGGAAATCCTTCATCAGAAAAGTAGTAAAGGAGTCCAGAATCTTTACCAAAGCATTACAAGGTTCTCTACATTCAGCTTGTATGTAGTTTGGCAAAAATATCTTAAGACTACTGCCAACTGCCTCCAGGTGTTTCTGTAGCTGTGAATCTTTCTCTGACTGGTCACATTTTCTTTAACCAGTCTGCTTTCCTCTTTTTAGATCCGCAAGCGTCTGATGGTGTCCGAGAAGGGTCACCTGGAGTGGAAGAAAATGTACTTCAAGCTGAGCCGCTGCTATCCTCACAGAGAGCAGTACAGCGACACCCTGCACCTCTGCACACACTGCCACATCCTCTTCTGGAAGGTACGCCTCCGTCTTCCACTCCCGATTCGGAGCAAAGGAATCGTTTCGACTCGCCGTCTAACGTCTGTCTCCGCTTTTGTTCTTAGGATACGAACCATCCCTGCACGGCCAACAACCCCGAAAGCTGCACCACATCCCTCTCCCCTCAGGACTTTATCAATCTGTTTTACTTCTGATCTCTGCAACACACACACACACTCCCCTACTTCGTCAGAAAACGCCAGAAGTATGGACTGGACTGTACATACTGTTCTTGTACATAGATGTTATTTCTTGTTTCATAAACCGATCATGTCCTGGATGTACATTTACTTGCAGCACGGACCTGGAGAGAACGCAGGCTGTGGGACGACTATGCAATTTTATTTGGTTTGAATATTTGGTTTGAGATCAAATGAAGCATTTGAAAGTGATTGAATGTGATGGAGAATGAAAGGAATGTAGTGAGGAGGACGAGGGGGGATGAAAATTTGGCTGAAGTTTTTAGTTTTGTTTGTATTGTTTGTGGGATTTGAGTTCTATTTTTGTTCAAATTTAATTGGAAAGGGATTAAAATAGTGATGTCAAAAGGCCTCCACTCTTGGGAAGGTGCAATATATTTCATGTGGAGCTGTGGTCTGCTTTAATTGGGAGGTGGAAATGCATACAGGGAAGAGAAACCAGATGTTTTGTTTTTATGCTTTTTCACTTTTATATGGATTTGATATGTTTTTCTTTTATTCTGCTTTGGCAGTCACAGCAGCAGCTGAGTGCAGTATCACCAGACGTAATCAAAGCCAGTGTAACTGTGGTGTGCCTTTACAAAACTTGAAGCAATACCGACAACATTTCTGTCTTGTTTGCATCTTTTCTAAACCCTGGTTGTTATTGTTTTTTTTTTTTTTCTGTATTTAATTTTACAGAGGTAAGCTAAGCTGCGACGCTCTGAAAGGGTCGCAGCTTAGCTTAACTTTTTTTTTTTTTGTGAAGACTCCTGCATGTTTTCAAACACCCAGCTGATTGTGTTGTTTACATATTTATTTCTCGAGACTTTTGGCGACTGGTTCGATTTTCACACTTCAGGTGTAAAGAAGTGGACTTTAAAGGGGCCTTTGTCACTGCTCAGACTTTGAGAAACGATGTACATGCTATGCAATGCAGTCTGTTTTTATGTTTAATAAATAAACTGATCAGTGCTGTAGGAGTGTGAGCTTACTTAACAACATGAATTCATCAGTATTATACAAAGTTTAGTAACCAAATACTTCATACTGTGGTTGAAAACATGGGCTTTCTTGGCGTTGAACCGGCTTTAGAAGTAGTTTGTAATGGCAAAAGTATGCCATCTAGGGGCCAAAGGAGGAACCGTAGCACCGAATTGATGGGTGTTGCTATTCTTGAGTAAGTATATTGTGGTTGTCCTTTTTTTTATTTATTTAAAGAATGCAAAAATATTAAACATTTCTTTTTTTTTAAGCACTACTTTTGGGCTCAGATTTGAGGGCCATTATCAAAACTGATGTGATGCAAATATTTGATAGAAGCTATGCTGTTTTTAGATTTTTATACTATCATTTCACTGCGTCACAAAACATTTTAAACTTTGTGGACGCAAAAGCTTTTATTGCTCTTGCTCGGGTAGAAAACCTGTCATTCAGAGGATGGTGCTCGTACCTCTGTGGAGGCGTGCAAATATTTATCCGCGACACTCTGCGGGTCAAGATGGGATGACTGGGTCAGCCTTTTATGCTGCAGAGATGTCCTAATCTCTGTGGAGCCAGCAGATAACTCTGGAATGGAGCACAGACATTCCTAGGACAGACACAGACACAGTGTCTCCTGAATCTCTCAAGCAGTTGTAACGTCCAGTCTGTCTCGGTCACTGTTTGAACTTTGTATCACCTGTGTCCATGCAGCTCATGTATTCGGAGAGGAATCGTGTCTCCCTAATCGAAACGAACACCCAAACACACGCGTTTATGAATTGTTAACACTCTTGAGCTCATCACACTCGATGTCAGAACCATAAATTTCACTTGCTGTTCTTTGTCAAATAACGGCTCCATCTCAGTGAAACTGGAAGGACGGCATCGATAAACATTGTCTTCAACCTTTTCATGCAAATTCTCAGTTAGACTTTGGAGTATCTTAACACCTACAGTTCACTACAGAAAACCAAAAAAACTTGAATATTACATTAGATCAATAACAAAAGATACTTTTAAGTAAAAAAGTCAGGCTTCTGAAAGGTATGTTCGTTCCTATGCACGCAATATTTGGTTGGTCCTGCTGTTGCATGAATTACTTGGCTGTACCTCATCTAACCGAGATTGTAGCCGCATGTTTGCTTAAGAACAGCGATGGGGGTGGTGTGTTTAGGCTGATGTGTGTGGCTAATTTTCAGCCACATGTAGACTTTTCCTTGTGAGCAAGCAGCTCAGTTTCAGTCTGAGCTGCTCTACGTTCTCACTGATCTGTCTGGCTTACACTATTTCACTATTTCATAGCCAAACCGTCAGTGTTCATACTTGCTTTGTTTGTTGTTTTTTTTATGTGTGATCAACCGTTTTACGTTTCAGTCCGATTCGAACTCATTATCTTTGCGAAACGACAGACCGGTTTCGATCAAACGTCACTCATTGTTTTCACTTCTGCTTTAATTATTGTAGCATCTCTTTCATTGCTGCCAGGCAAAACTTGAGCTTTGAAACAAAAAAGTATACAAATTTTTTGTTTTCTATGCAACACAAAATGAAAGCAGTGGCATTTACTAAATGCCTTTTTTAAAATATCATTTAAAACAAATATGCTATATTTACTGCTATCCTGAAACATGTTTAAGCACATTAGTCACAGTGTGCATCACCGCACATACAGTACTGCTCCTGGTCTCCAGGATACGTAGGTTGCATCAATGGATAAGCACGTCGTTTGGAAGCATGAGGTGTGCGACCGGCAAAGGCATGAAACCAAAACGCTGGTGTCGCTTTGAGGCCGGATAAATGTGAACATTTTCCCACCCTGAACACCACCGTGTCTTCCTCAACATCTGTTCTTGGTAAGTTTCCAAAACGCTCATTGATGTGAAGTATCAGATGAAGGCAATGTTGATGGTACAGTCAACATTATTTCATTCATATCCTTTTTTTTTTTTTTTAGATCCCTTATCAGTTTTTGTTCTCCAAAGTCCTTCACGTTTTGCAAAACTGTGCAAGATTTGTACTTTCCATGTTGGTTTCGGACCTGAATGACCACATATTGTTCCATTTTGAACATGTCTCCTGGGACGGTGCGTAATCTAACCTGCTTGCAATGTTTCCAGTTACGAGTGCATAACTTTTCATCTTGGCTACTTTTTGTCATTGTGGCCAAATAGGTCCTTCTTTGTCTTATCTAATCATATTTATTTTGTATAGAAAACGATTGGATTGGATCCGAGCAGCTGCAAAATTCAGTCGAGTGTCAATTATTCTTTTTGAGTAAATACTATTAGAAAAGACAAAGATGGAGTTCTCTGGCTGCTGCCTTATTAGTGAGCTTGCCTCGTGTTATCCAGTGACGCTGGTCACAACCTGATTCAGCCTCATCAGAACCAAAACACTGACGCTGGCGTGGCTACACTTTAGTACTAGGAATTGTTTAACGTTGCTGAAAACTGACAGATAAAGCTGATGTTACACATGGAAATATTGGTGATCCAGGACCGAAACTAATGCGGTAAATATAAATCACGCCCAATCTGTAATATAACATTTTTGTCCAGTGTAACACAAAATAAGCACCAGTAACATCTCCACATTTTAACCCGTTTCCCACTGTAGGAGTTTTCATATGGTATGAAACCAGTCCAGATAAAGCCTTTGAGACAGCTGCATAATAACAACTCACTGTACCTTGTTTAGGAAAAACAAAACATTGGTGTGTACCTCCTTGTTGCGTCCGTCTTCTATATCGAGTATTTTTTCTTAAAGTGTCACTTCATAAGTACAAAAGTGACATTCAAGATCGTAAGGTCTGCTAGGTTTGCTTAGTGGACATGAGTCTCTGTTTTGTTGCCATGTGGTTTAACTGTTATTGGATCATAAATGAGGAGCTAGAAATGAGTCACAATTGCCAAACCTGGCAACGCAGTCCCAGAAAGTTTTAAGAACCGTTTTTGCTTTGGCAAAGGTTTAGTTTTCGTCACATGAAAGAACCATCTGCAGAGGACCGGAGGATGTTGAGAATCACCCCACGTTCCCTTTCAGGTACGAGGAGCAGCTGAGGAAAGCAGTCGTCAGTGGATCTGGAGTCCTACGATACGAATAACAGAGCATGTTTCATGCTTTCTTTTGGAGATCCAGTAGAAAATGTCTAAAGGAGGGCAGAGTTACCAGTGTTAGTAAATGTCACAGAGTGGCACATTGTCCCCTTCAGAGTTCTGAATCACCCACTCAATAGCGTCCCAGCCCTGAGGATGGACAAAAGACAATGAGCACAAACATACAAAATACTGTAAGAAATGATATGAATATTAATGTTCACTTCCCTGCATCTAAAGTGTTGCTGCGAAAAGTAAAGTAGCCAAAACATGACTTTATATGTATGCAAATGTCATAGGGGTTAGGATAACACATCTTTATTGTTTCATGTAATGAAAGCAAGCAAATGTTTGGCAAGCATCACCCTTTCTACATATTCTCACTTTTAGTTAAAGTTAGGGTTGGAGAAGAGTTCTCTGCTTTTCTTCTTCCAAAATAATCACTGTTTTGTAAAGAGAAACTATAACTAAAAAGGATTTATTTTCGCCTTGCCTTCCGGGCGTTGGCAGACATGCTCCTGACCATCAGGCCCTCCAGATAGCTGCTCAGACTGACTCCCTTCACCGTGATGATGGCTTCCTGTGTCAGTACAGTACTGAGGAGCAGACACGGACACATACAGAAAGATAAAACGTGATCATTGTGACATCTTGGGAGATGTCGCGTCTTGTTTTCCTCCTATGATTTGTGCAATGCACACTCTCTGACAACAAGACATGAAGTGAAAAACAGAGAGATGATCACTTACACCTCTGGGTTTTCGGGGTGTGGTGTGTAAACGAGCCTCTCATCTACGGATATCAGGTTGGTGAGAGTAATCTGGTGGATGGAATTTATTCAAAATATATTACGACGACATTTATATACATTCTTGTACTGGAGAAATAATGATTACATAGAGGTGTAAACTATGCCACAGTTCACCCACTCACATCGGTAGATTTTCAGGTTCAAAGGCAGCATCTTATTATGAATAAAATGTTGGAACTGACTCACATTTGTTGAGCACAGCTCCATCTTTTTCACCTCTCGGTCGACAATAGAATGTTCCTTCACGTACGTCTGTGTGTGGTTGGTCCCCAGTATCTACACACACATAAATCAAGCCAGTCTGAGGGAAGATGCTGCAAGAACAGTGATAGGACCAGTGCAGATCATGACTTAACTCCCTGTTTATGACCTAAATGTAGATACGTTTCTGAACATCTCAGTGGTTTTGACTGACCGCTCGTACGATAGACGGTAACCCCCACTCTGTGCTGAGGAGTCTGTGGCTGTGAAGGCGTCCCTCTGAGTCCAGACTCCGATCCAGCACGTCCACGCCAACCACGTTGGGGTTCATGGGGTTGGGGTACTTCCTCATGGCAGCCTTGATCACAGTCTCCCATGGGTAACTGCACACAAATCGGGGCATAATTAGTCAGAAGCAAGAAGACGGAAAACATCAAATATGTGCTGCTGTGGGACAAAATAGAGAAAAAAAGGATTCAATCTAGCTGTGTTACATAAAATGATGTAAGCACATCTATTACATCCAAAATTCTCTGATGCTCTAGTCCATCTTCGGCTAATGTTCACGTTACCAAGATGGAAGCCTTGCCATCTTGGTAAGGCTGCCATCTTGGTAGCCTTACCAAGATATATATATATATATATATATATATATATATATATATATATATATATATATATATACACAAAAAATGAAAGTTTTTCTTTCAAAATAGGGAGACCCTGCTATAACATTTTCGGGGGCTCGTCCGGGATGTACCACAACAAATCAGGATGTAAGTGACGTTAACAAAAATGATTGTTCCTTTGTCCAAACACATGTTAGTGTCCTCAGAGAGAGACAAATGACAGTGAAAAGTGACAGTTTTCTGCCATTTGGGGTGATCCCAACTCATGAGACGCGATAGCAATGGCACCATCAAAAGTTGAACATTTTTCAACTTTCTTGTATTGCATCGCTTGCCACGTGCGCACCTCTATGTGCGCAAGCTTGAAACTTTACACGCACAAACTTTGCCCACCACTTGACTGGAGGAGGGCAAGTTGTCGCCTCATCGCACACGTCCCACAGGAAACGAATGGAGAAGTAGCGACATCGCCTCCCATTAGTCAGCAAGTGAACATTGTGTCTTAAAAGCTGTTGTGTTAAAATCAGGAAGAGTATAGGTGAGTGCAGGGACTTGAGCAAGTTTGACAAATTGCCTGTTACACTTCTGCCCGTGCAGAGTCGAACTGTAGCAACTGGATGACTGGATCACATCATCTAGAAAACTCCAGCTTTGCTAAGGTTTTCCAGGTCTGCAATGCATTTATCAAAGAAGGGTTTTTTTTTTTTTGTTGCTTCTTTGCTTTGTTGCCAATATGGATTCCCTTTTTTTTTTTTTTGGACTCAGAAGGAGGGGCCTGCCCAGGGCAACATTAATGCAAAACTCGCCACTGCCCATTTGTCAATAAGGACTTATCGGCTTAAAAACAATAATTATGAAGCCACATATTTCACCATCGCAGAACTACAATAACACACACTTTAATAAACAACAAATCTCAGCGGTACCAACCTGAAAATATGCTCGGTGCTCCAAATCTTCATCATACCAGAGATCGTTTTCTCATCACTGTAGAAAAAAAAATGAAAGAAAAGAAAAGAAAACCCCAAACTGCACCTTATCGGACCATCTTTCTCATCAGATAAGGAAGCAGATCGGAGATGTTGGGACCGGGCCTGAAAGCTGCGGATGAGCTCACGACAGTCAATGAGACGAGCCCAGAGGATCCACCGCCGTGGTTCCTGTCATGTCTGGGCTGTGGAGAAACTGCGCAAAAAATCCTCTGCTGATTCACAGCCAGAAAGCAGATGAAGGGATAAAGAGCGGCCGGGATAAAGAGCCGGTGCAGGAGCCGATTAACAAAGTGTCAAGAGTCACCGAGCAGCACGCGGCACTCTGCTCAGCGGCGCCAAAATAAAACGTCGCTCATCCTCTTTGAGTGGCGTTTCACTGACATGCCAAGGCCGGAAATTTCACGTGGATTCATGTGAAGACGAACATCAACCGCGCGCACTGCGGCTGCGGCTCTGAACGGCATTCATCCCAGTACGAGAGATTTCGCGGTGCTTTTACTTTGGTGAACCCACAGACAGCGGCCCACGGGGCTCTTCTCCTTCCTGTCTGCTCCGTCCGGCTGACAAGATGCAGCTGATGCTTTACTGCTGCATCCGCCTCCCTTTGTGCGCATGCGCATAGCATCTTCGCTGTCCCTCCATCCCCCTCCCACCCCACCCCACTCAACCCCGCACGACAAGTGGAAGAAAAGAGACGCGCTGTGTCAAGTCACCCAAGGACAACACGAACCGCACCGGAAGTTCATCTGACGACCTTCTAATAATAATAATAATAATAATAATAATAATAATAATAATAATATAAGATGAAAAGGTAATGAGTGACACGCACACAAAAATATTTTTAATAGGCTACTGAAATCTGGACTTTTAAATTGACAAAAAGCATTGAAAGCCTGAACTGAATATTACAATTATCATTATTATATTATACAAGATACAGGCACATCAAAATAAATTAAATAAAAATTATTTCTACTGATGTAAAAGAGTTGAATTCATAATTTTTTACATATGGTTGTAAATATTATAATTTTCCTATAGAGTGGAAGGAGATTAAATTAAGTAACGAAACACAGATTAACACATGCATAGAAACTGTTGACTTAAAAGACTAGATTAAACAAAATAAATACCACAAAACTGTTTGGTAGTGCAGGGGGGGGGGGGAGGAAATCTGGTAGCAAAAAAATGCATTTAAAAATAATTTAAAAGGAAAAAAAAGTATTTAGCAAGTTTATCTCCCTTGGGAGATTGCTGCAGATAAATTCTGCAAGGTGCAAAAAAATAATCAAACCTCTTTGGTTCTCAGACGAGACAAAAGCACAACCAACACGGCTTTGGATGAGGGATTTGGGGGGATTTATTTTTTGGCAAAGAGAGAATGCATTGGTGAAAACTGTGGGACACCAACAAGATCTTAAGTGAGTAAACTGCTCTGTTTTGATGCCCAGACTGTCTTTTTGGTGTATTGTCTGGTTATTCATCTCTGTTCCCTTGTCCTCGATATAAAACACTTTAAATCACCTCATGTATTAAAATGAAACTGGATATCAACATGGTATTGGTATTAAAGTCATACTATGTGTGCAGATGGCATCCCTCAGACTTAAAATGTGCAAGAAACCCTCCCCCCCAAAAAAAAAACAACTGCAAAGGATCCAAGTACACAACCTTGAGGTACGACACTTCATCTTCCTTGATGACACTTCTCAAGGATCTTTCTCTAAGTCCTTCAAACACGTATAAGTCGCCTAAAAACCGCAACACAAGAAACAGTCCAGTGTTAGATACACTAAGATCCAGTGATAGTGCAACAAAATGGATTCAAAGAGTTTCAGATTTCATCATAAAAAGCATCTGCATCTCAATCACCTAACAGGCAGCTTTAGGTGCCTCTTTATTTATTTATTTTTTTTATTATTTATTTATTTTTCTTATCATATCCAACAAACACCTGCGCATTCTTTTGAAAAGTAAACCGGAAGTGTCAGATGGGCTGGCGTGTGACTTTCCCTCCCCTTCCGCGGGTCTGGGGTGCAATTCGCAGAGGCAGCCTGGCGTTTGGAGGACGGGATGGTACCTTGAGGAGAAACTGGCTGTCGGACCAGCGGGCCCCGTCCACCTCACTCTGGATGCACATTCAGTATAGCTTCCTCTGAGCGGGATCGGCCAACAGGAGCGTTTCCAGCTGCGTCTGCGTGACCTTGCGCTGACTGTAATATCAGAGGGATTTCAGAAAAGCGGCCGCGCGGTAAGGTAAGGAGCATCCCTATAGGCGCAGGGCAACAGGAGGCGAGATCGCTGCTGACTGCTATTGCGTTTTAATGCGTGCTTCACACACACAGGCAAAATAGTAAAACTATATCCATATATATATATATATATTTATATAGACCGTTTGTTTTGATTGCAAAGTTGAATCTTTTGGTCAGTCTGGGATGAGATGTAAAGGAATCAGATTGGAAGCAGGCCTGGGTTAAGCCTTGTGTTGCAGTTTTAAGGCCGCGCTGCTTCCCGCTGGATGGAAATCCTGAGACACGCAATGAATAAAACCAGAAATGTAATATTACGTGGCCGGCCGTTTATTCCGATGGTTTGTCGGTGGAGAGCGTGGTGGATGGCAGATGCTGCAGCAGCGCCTGATCGGCTCGGAGGAGGAGGAGGAGAAAGAGGAGGAGCAGGGGGCTGATGTTTCCTTTTCTTTCTTTCTTTTTTTTTGATGAAACAAAAAAAGAAGAAAGGGGGAAAAAAAACCTGTTTGTGCTCCGCAGTGGGGTATTTTTTTCCCAGTTTGACTTGTCGGGATGTGATCTGTTTCACTGGAGCCTGACGCGACCACCCTCCCAAGCCCCGCTGCACCTCAGACCCTCTCTCCTCTCTCCTCTCTCCGCCCGCTGGGTGGTCGTGTTCAGGCCAGAGGCGCGCTGACACATGCGCTCTGCAGACCGGTGCTCCCCCTGCGTGCGCAGTGAATTTCCGTGGCTCATCAATCAGAGCCTCGTGGGACAACAGCCTTATGAAAAATAAAAAGACCAAATTATTTCCACGGGCTTTGATTATCGGACACGTATTACCGGGTTACTATTTCAGAATACTATTACTATTACTATTTTGTTCCTTCCGTTTGGAAAACGGAAGGAACAAAACGATTAGATTCAGCGCGACATTGGCAGTGACTGCTCTCCAGACTCAGCAGATTATGAGCTAAGATATTTTTTTCTCTTACCCGTCTCTTTGATTGCAGGTTGTTACCATGGAGATTGTCAAGCATTTAATAAACGACACCATAGAGTTCTACAAATGGACCCTGACCATTGCAGGTAATACTGAGCAGCATGTTGCTGGGATCCATGATCCAAATCCAGGTATGGGGGTTTGATTTGATCGGCCCAAAAGAGGCACATTGAATCCACTGAAAGATTTAGGTTAATCCTGGTGCTTTGCCAGGTCTATAAAGGCGATTGGGTGTAAGTGCACATATTTTGAAACGGAAAGTCATTGTTGAAATCCGCACCGCAAATAAAAACCGATTCTGATTTTCGGTAAAAATACCGATATGTCGGCCTTTCAAAAAATACCGTATTCCGTAAATTAGAAACGTTTTTATTTTTACTTATTTATTTTTGGAGTGTGGGATATTTACAAAATATAATGTGAACAACATAAACTTAGAACTTAGACTTTAGACTGATTCTTTAAAGCAGATATATTTTTAAAGTGAGCACAAGGGGCAGGCTGCAGGGAAAAGTTATTTAAATTGGGGGGAAAAAAGAAAAGAAAATCAGGTGAAAAGATGGCAGAATTGACCCATTTAGTAATCTGGCTATCAATGCATCTCAATGTCTGTGCTTAAAATGACAAAAGATGAGCTGGTGATGGCACTGAAATTAAATCTCATGTTACTGTAAGAAAGATGAAAAATGAAACATCCTGTAAGCTTTCTGACAGCAGGTCCTACAAGGTGAACGTTTGGCATTTAGCATGCTTTATGTGTGAGTGGGAATGTGTGTCCTGCAGATAAACGAGTGGAGAAATGGCCTCTGATGGACAACCCGCTCCCCACGCTGGCCATCAGCAGCTCCTATCTGCTCTTCCTCTGGCTGGGCCCCAAATACATGAAGAACAGGGAGCCCTTCCAGCTCCGCAAGACGCTCATTGTTTACAACTTCAGCATGGTCTTCCTCAACTTCTTCATCTTCAAAGAGGTGCATGCCGCACATTTTTTGTTGAAACAGATTTATCTGCATAGCTGTGGCCTTTTTCATCCGTGCATGTCCCCGTCACAACATTCCCAAAATTGGTATTGCGCAGCGACGATGAGCCTTTTGCTCTCTTTGTTCTTTCAGCTCTTCATGGCAGCTCGGGCAGCACAGTACAGTTACATATGTCAACCTGTGGACTACTCAGACGATCCGAATGAAGTCAGGGTGAGTGTTGTGAAGTCTTGAATGCTGAAAAACATAAAAAAAAAAAAAAAACCACATGCACACTATCTTACAAAAGCATTTTTCTTCGAAAAGCATGTTGAGTCCAGACAGAGCATCAAATTTCTCCCCTTGCCCCATACCAGGGTTTAGGTCAGGGTTTGAATACGGTTCTAGTGTTCCTTCCAGGATTTCTCAGAATTTACTTCACTTCATTGTCAAGATGTTGTATCCCGTCAGTTTTCCCTCTGTAATAGCGTTTTGTACGTTTGGCAAGATGTATCAACTCAGCTGGGCCAAATACAAATACCTGTTACACTTCTGAAATTTTTTTATTTCTAAAAAATATACATATCTTATATTTTCCCACCTTAGAATATAACTCCATGCACTTAAGTTTTAAGCTGCCACAAAAAGTCAAACAGTTTGAATACAGGGTACATTTAGTCTCTCAGAGTTCATTCCGACTGTTGAATAACTTACTTGCAAGCTTGACAAAGTTTGTAAAAGGTATCAAGGACTAGTTTTTGCACATTTTGCCATTTGCTGTATACAAAGTTCTAATGTATCAAAAGTGATAAGGATGGCCAACATGAGCGTTTCATTGCCGCTTCACTTTCTGGATTTGGAAACCTGATTAGCGTCCGTTCAGCCGGACTGCGGAAGAGCGCGTGAGCTGACAGAGGAGCTGGTGTTCTGTTTCACCTCACTCTATGTTGCTCCATGACATAGATACAAGCTCGACACAGAACCCGCGAGCACGCCGTTCTCGTGTTTACGGTGAGGTTAGGATGTCAAAGATCAGAGGGGAAGGGAAACATGTTGCCCTCACTCACGTTAGGCTCCCAGGAATCTCTGAATCCAGTCTACATCTGTTATCCTCTTAGCTCTGTTTGTGTTCAAGTGTTTTTCCCTTCACCTCCCTGATTCGCCACATGTCGCTGTGGGAGACAGGTGGCAGGAGCTCTCTGGTGGTATTTCATCTCCAAAGGCATCGAGTACCTGGACACGGTGTTTTTCATTCTGAGGAAAAAGTTCAACCAGGTCACCTTCCTGCACGTCTACCACCACTGCACCATGTTCACGCTCTGGTGGATCGGCATCAAGTGGGTGGCCGGAGGACAGTGTGAGTTGCTCAGTCTTTGCCGTTAATGCAAAATACACACTTTTTAAACAATTCATAAGTAATGATTACGTCGGAGCTTTAAAAGTGATGACTAAAAAGCTTCTTAGGAGATCACTGTGGAGAAAGACGTTACACTGCAAACAGAACTCAACAATATGCTGGCCTTTCAAAATGATGGTCACTCTTCAAAATAAAAGTGTTTGTAGAGTTTATGATTGCAATAAATAGGTTAAACTTTACTAATGGAACTAAACTAATCTAGACAGCAAAAGGAGATTACATTAATCATGAAACTGAACCAAACATGAAAAGGGGATTATGTTGAGTTTTGAAAATGAAGCTTGAAGATATTCTCTAAAATAAAAGCGTGGAGATCTAATCGAGTAGATTACTGCAAAACGGCATCCCACGTTACTAATAAATCTCATCCAATCATAAAAAGGGGACCATACTGACCTGTCAAACTAAAGTCTGAATGGAGCTGTGAAATGAGTGATCATTTTTGTAAAGGAATAAAACGCAACAAAAATAATGAAGAGAGACAAAATTCAGCCAAAAGTCTGGGGGCAAATAGCCAGACTTAAAGTAAAAATATTTCAAAAGATAAAACAAAATCTGTTTGCTTTAGAGCGAAGCTTAACTTTCATTCAATTCCATCCTTTGTCATCAGATATAAAAGAAATATACTTCCACAAAGACATGAGGCCTTAAGGCATTAGTTGACTAGAACTAGGCTAAACTAATGATAAGAAATGACTAATTGTGATCAAAATGAAATCAAATTTCAATTAAAATACTTTGACTCAAGTATCTTAATACTTGAAGTCAAAGTATATTTTACTTTCAAATAAAACATGTTGTCTAAATGAACTCTGCTCCAAAGTTGTTGAAGTTGTGCTAAAACTCTTTGTTGCTTTAATGGAAGAGAACAAGACGTCTTTACAGATATCCTGACTTTACTGTGTTTATGTTCCTGCAGCGTTCTTTGGTGCACACATGAATGCACTGATCCACGTCTTGATGTATCTGTATTACGGCTTGGCTTCCTGTGGACCGAAGATCCAAAAGTACCTGTGGTGGAAAAAGTACTTGACCATCATTCAGATGGTAAGAAACAAAGGCCTTTTGGGGGGAAAAAAACATGTAGGTTGGATTTTAATTTTATTCTGTTAGCGTAATGGATTTATTATTATTTTTTAAACAAACGCCTCAGGTCCAGTTCCACGTCACCATCGGCCACACCGCCCTGTCGCTGTACGTCAACTGCGACTTCCCCCACTGGATGCACTACTCCCTCATCTGCTACGCCATCACCTTCATCGTCCTGTTCGGCAACTTCTACTACCAGACGTACCGCCGGCAGCAGCCCGCACGCCGCGACGCCGCCTCTTCCAAGGCGGGCAAGGCTCTCTCCAACGGCAACCTGAACGGCCTGAGCCGAGCCGCCAACGGAGCGCCGCTGATGGGGAGCAAAGAGGAGAAGCCCCAGGAGAACTCTGGCAGGAGAAAGAGGAAAG